GGTTGCATTAGTATTAATTTTAAGCCCTTTTCTAGCAGCGACAGCACGAAGCGTGAGCGAGAGCGAGCGGGTGCGGGTCAGGTGGCGCTGGTGTCGAGTCCTGCAGAGCGAGGCAGTGAGTGCGATGGCGGCCGCAGAGCAGTTTCGGAACCGGCGGTGGCGAGGGCGGCGGCAAGTGCAGGAGAGCGAGTCCGTCGCATGCACACGGAAATGCCATGGCTACGCAGTGGGTGGTGTGGACGGAGCGGAGGCGTTGCGTGGGTGCACGCTGCGACGCGCCTGCGCGAGCGTGAGCAAATGGCAAGCGAGCGAGCTGTGCCGTCCGCGACCGAAAAAGAATTTTGCCGGGCCGCCGGTAAAGAATTTTCGACAAAGGGCGGTCGCACGAAACGATTCACGCGACAGGCGAGGCAGGAAAAGAATTGGAACCCGGAAAACGAAGAATCGACGCGCCGAGATGGATGCGCTGAGAAGAAGAAAAACATTTGTTAGTTGCCATTCAAAGGCCGTGTGTCGCGTGTGCTGCGCAACACGCTCGGCGCTGCTAGCCCGGCGAGGAGCGCCTTTGGGGCGGCGAGAAGGCGCCGGACGGCATTCACGACTCGAGGTGTGAAGAGACGCCGTTCGCACTTTGTGCCACGAATAGGGCTCAGATCGCCGACTCACGAGACGGCCATCGCGGTGCGTGTGCAGCACGTGCTCCTCTGCACGCGCCACGCTCTCAACGCGGCGCGCAGCGCCGCTAGAGCGGCTTGACGGCGAAAAAAAGACTTAGCGGCTTCGAGGTGTGAGGAGACAAAATTCACACTTTTCGACTCGGATAGGGCTCGAGGCGCCGATTTGTCAGACCCCGTTCACGGGCCGTGCTGCGCGTGTGCTGCGCTACACGCTCGGCGCCGTTAGCACGGCGCGGAGCGCCCTTGGGGCGGTGAGAGGGCGCCGGACGGCGCTCACGGCTCGAGGTGTGAAGAGACGCCGTTCACACTTTCTGCTATGAATAGGGCTCGGCTCGCCGACTCAAGAGACGGCCTTCGCGGTGCGTGCGCAGCGCGTGCACGTGCTCCTACGCACGCGCCGCGCTCTCCACGCGGCGCGCAGCGCCGCTAGAGCGGCTTGACGGCGAAAAAAAGACTTAGCGGCTTTGAGGTGTGAAAAGACGGTTCTCACACTTTTCGGCTCGGGTAGGGCTCGAGGCGCCGTTTTATCAGACGCCGTGCGAGGGGCGTGTCGCGCGTGTGCTGCGCTACGCGCTCGGCGCCGTTTGCACGGCGCGGAGCGCCCTTGGGGCGGTGAGAAGTTGCTGGACGGCGTTCACGGCGTCGAGGTGTGAAGAGACGGTTCTCACACTTTTCGACTCGGATAGGGCTCGAGGCGCCGAATCATCAGACGCCGTGCAAGATGCGTGTCGCGCGTGTGCTGCGGTACTCGCTCGGCACTGTTAGCGAGGCGCGGACCGCCATTGGGGCGGTGAGAAGGCGCTTGACGGCCTTCACGGTGTTGAGGTGTGAAGAGGCGCCGTTCACACCTTCTGCTATGAATAGGGCTCGGCTCGCCGACTCACGACACGGCCTTCACGGTGCGTACGCAGCGGCTGCTGCTCTGTACGCAGCGCTCTTTCCACGCGGCGCGCAGCGCCGCTAGAGAGGCTCGACGGCGAAAAAAAGACTTACCTTAAGGTAGCGGCTTTTCGACTCGGATAGGGCTAGAAGCGCTGTTTTATCAGACGCCGTGCAAGGGACGTGTCGCGTGTGCGCTGCGCTGCACGCTCGGCGCCGTTGGCACGGCGCGAAGCGCCCTTGGGGCGGAGATAGGTAGAAAGCTATAGTCTAAAGAGTCGTGTTTTCTTTCCATTTCTGGGGCTCCCAGGCCCCATTGTTTCCCTACCGATTTCCCAAAACTTTTTTTCTGCAGCGGGCGCCGCATACGCATACGCACCTCTCGCTCCTCTCGACCTCGATCCATGCCTCTCTCGATCAAATATCTCATCACACACCCCTCTCGCTCTCCGCTCTCACACACCTCTCGCTCATCTCGCGCGATCTCGATCATATCGCCCCTCTCGCTCTCCGCTCTCACACACCTCTCGCGTATCTCGTGCGATCTCGATAATTAATATTTAATCGCCTGATAGAGGAGATGGAGAGAGAGGGAGAGGGAGATACGGGGAGATACGGGAGATACGGGGAGATATGGGACGCGCAGCTCGTGCTCAGGTCCTCGCTGTCGCGCTCCTCGTGCTCGATCTCGGCTAATCTCGGCCAATCTCGGCTCATCTCGGCCAATCTCGGCTAATCTGATCGCGTCTCGCTGGTCGGTCAAACAATCACTGTGTAAAACACTGTCGCACCGAGTGTACCCTCCCTACACCACCAGGAGCCGCAAGATGACCGGCGTCGCGCCGTCGAGGAAGCGCTGCCACGCCTCGGCCTGCCCCGCCTCGGCGGGCGCGCTCTCGGCCGAGCTCTGCAACGAGAGGACCGTCGCGATGGCCGACCAGCGGCTCGGAGGCGCCGGCGGCTCGGGCGGCTCTGCGGGCGGCGCGGGCTGCGTGCTGCCCGCCGCCTGCTGTCCGGGCAGGCAGCGGGTGAGGCAGGAGAGGAGGGCGGCCGCGTCGGGGGGCGAGAGGCCCATCGCGCGGAGGGTGTCGGCGATGTCGGCGAGCCACCCAAAGAGGTCCCGCAGCTCGCGGGGCGAGGAGAGGATGCCTAATCAATTCATTGATTGATTGATTTAGTTATGAATTAAACGGGTCCCGCGGCTCGCGGGGCGAGGAGAGGATGCCTAATTAATTAATTAATTTAATTTAGTTATTAATTAAACAGGTCCCGCAGGCTCGTGGGGCGAGGAGAGGATGCCGCACGTCTCGACGACAGCGCGCAGCAGCGGCCGCATGCGCGAGCTCACTGCGGCGACCGTTGAGCGCAGGGCGACCGCCGGTCGGTCGGGGCCGAGAGCGGTGGGCAGCGCGGCCAGCA